ATAATATATCAACATCACCCAGGCCTTCGTTCATTCACTCATTTCTATTTTAAGGGCTTTGCGTGTGCTGTTCCCAGTTCTTGAAATGCTCTTTTCCTGACTGGCTTATTAGCTCTGCCTCCTCTTTTGGGGTTTTAGCTTAAAACATAAGCTCCGCAGAGAGGTTTTCCTGCCCACCTTATGAAAAATAGATCTGGAGCCAGCTAGGTCATTTGACACTTACTTTATTCACTGGCTTGGTTACGTTTATCTACATCCTGCTGGGCTCCATGGAAGGAGAGATTTTGTTTAGCTCACCTCACTGTCCCTGGAGCCAGAACTGCTGGCAGATGGCAAGTGCTCAGAAAGCACTGGTTGGTGAAATAAAGGAAGGAAAAAGTGCTTCTGGATCACTGATGGGGTTCACTGGCTGCTAGACACCTTGCTATAGAAAACATGTTCAATCGAGGTTTGTGAACCAGTTGGCTGCAGCTCAACATAGATGGTAAAGGTACATCTAAACTGTAAAGAACTGAACTGAAGGCATGAGGCTGATGCTGTACCAACGAACACACCGGACGGCACAGCAGAGGTAACAGTGGCAGGTATGTCAGAAAATGGCATTCTGTTAATTTGAGAATGTGTGTGATTACAGATTGTCCAGACTGTAGATCTTGAAGCGTCAATGGCCACAGCTTCTGTGTATTCATAACATTTCAGTACAACACACAGCACTCCCACCACTTCATGCTCTCAATAGGTAGAGTCCAAAGATTCTTCATTCCAACAGTTATTGACACTTTGGGCTGGATAAGTCTTTATTGTGTGGGGCTTCCTGTGCATTGTAGAATGTTTAGCAGGATCCCTGCCCTCTACCTACTAGATGCCAATAACAGCTCCCCTGTCCAGTTGTGACAACCAAAATGTCTCCAGGTATTACAAATGTACCCTGAGGTGCCGGTAGTGGGGGCAGGGGATGGATCACCTCTGGTTGGGAACCACTGGTATAGTTGAATGGTATATGGCTAAACAGTTATAAATTCACATGGATCACTTTTATGTGACTAGTTCTTCTCTAAATCGGAAATATTAAACTTGGATACAAATATAACAAAAAATTCTAATCAGTTTCTAATACATAATAGTCATATAATAAATAGTTGTTACAATCATATGAAAGAAAGGGAATGTAAGGATAAATTTACTCAATGGTGCAAAGAAGCACTATTACCACTTGGTGGCAGAAAATTCTAATGTAGAACTAAGTGTTCCATGGCCAGCTATTCAAGCAGGCTAGAAAGTCAGGGGGATTCAACTGGCCAAATGAATAGTATTTAAACCTTAGGGATGTGGATATCTATAAATGGTAGTGATGTGTGAAATGCAACGGGAGTGGCAGCAGGAAGAGCTGGCTTTAAGCTTTGTTCCTGACTCATGTGAAAATACACTGATTCTGAATGAGCTACTGTCTATCTTTGTTTTTATACCACATCTCCTGCATTCTTTATGTTTTCTCTTGTTCATTTCCTAGTAATTATTTTGATATTAGCATTTAGAGTAAAGCCAGGAACAGAGCAATGAGCTAAAAATGTATAGATACCATGTTCAGTCCACAGGGATGCAGACATGAAATGCACCACGTGGGGGCAGTGCTTATAAGCGCTTGCTTTGGAATCAAGTAGATTTGAATTTGAATTCTGGCTGTTGTTTGAAATGAAACTGTGGGCAGGTTACTTCAGCTCTACTGTCCTCGGGCTTCTAATGCATGAAATAGGGGAAATAATATTACCTACCTGCTAGAGGTGGTGTAAGAATCAAACAGGAAGGCTGTGGGATACACCGCTGGACATACAGTAGATGCTCTACAAGTGTCAGCAGCTATTACTGTTGTACAGAAGGATAAATATCTACTATGTGGATTTAGCCCTATTTCATGTTTCTTTTTCTTTATTTTTATTTTTAGTGTTTATTTTTCTTTGAGAGAGACAGAGACAGAGACAGAGAAGAGCATGGGCATGGGAGGGGCAGAGAGAGAGGGAGACCCAGAATCCAAAGCAGGCTCCAGGCTCCCAGCTGTCAGCACAGAGCCCGACATGGGGCTCGAACTCACGCACTGAGAGATCATGACCCGAGTTGAAGTCGGAGGCTCAAGCGACTGAGCCACCCAGACACCCCTCATGTTTCATTTTAATCTAGTCTAGTCTACTCTGCTGAATATTACTGTCCACTGATGTGTCCATGACAAAGTCACTCAGGGAATGAAATATTCTGTGATTCCCATTGATTCCCACACCCAGATGGGCCTTAGAATATCCTAAGGCCTAACTAAAGTACACACTTCCACACCCCAATGCCAGAAATTTCAATTCAATATGCCTGGAGAAAAGGATTGGGAATTTGCACAAAATCAACATATATCAGTTATATGTGACTAATAACAAAAAAAATCTGCACATGTCACTCAACCCAGTGCCAAACAGACAGATAATGCTAAAATGACATCTATTGCATAGGACGCCAGAGCCTGTCTCCAACTGACAACTTGAAAGTGATCCCTCCTGGAGCTCGAAGAGAGCGGTTGGTTATTCAGGAAGTTATCAGCATCTTCAGGTTTATGCATCATACAGTGTGGCAGAGATGGGACTTGAGTTATGCTGGCCTCTCAGAATTTATCTGAAAAGCTAATGCTAGCAGCCAATTCAGGGACCTTCAGAGCTAAAGGATATAACCAAAGATAATAAATAGGTCTTCTCACTTTGTTTCAAAAAGTATTTTTATGTGGCTCATTCCACTGATTTCTATGGTGCACCCAGAGCACGTGTGGAGGTGATGTTGGTGGAACCTATCCACTTTTGTCCTCAGGGAGTCAGAAGATCTGAGTGAAATGGAAACTTAAGCGTTGTTTTGGAAGTAGACTTCATGAAAAAGAGAGCAAATGTTGCACAAATTGGTAAGAAAGAAGGAACCGTGAGAGTTTTTCTTAGTCCCTATCAGGGCCAAGCACATTCCAGTGGAAACCCACTTCAGTAACAATAGGCAAACTTGACTGGAAATATAAACGTGTGCTGTAAAAGCACTCTCCCAGGAGTGTAGCTAATGTATCAAGCAAAAGCAAGCTGTGGGCGTCAGTTCTGTTCATCACAAGCTTACATGGCAAGGAAAAGTAAAGGAGATGGCTGCATTATGTCAGTCCTCTAGGAACCAAATGCCAAGACACAGTAAGAAGTAGGAGTTGTGCTCAGAATCATGCCTGTGACAGGCAACAGGGAGTAGGAGCAGGGGGTAGAAAACGGTCTTAGACTGTGGGGCTTGGCTCACCGTGAAAGAGGGAAAGGTAAAAAGACCAAAAAAGTCAGCCAGCCTGACTGGGAGCTCCAGCACCAACTGCTCCGAGGCAACCCTGCCCTGGTGAAGAAAATGACGGACAGGTAGAGAGGCTCTGCTGGATGTGTGTATGCCCACCCCCACCCCACACTGCTCAAGGGCAGTGAACGAGATCTCCGTTGGGTCCTGGACGCTCCTCTATCAGTTTAATTTTTCCTGCTTTACATCACTATCCCTGTATTTCATTACCCACAAGTACCCAACCATATATGCTTAATATCTGTCTTAAAGATATACACAGTTCTTTCTTCTGATTAACTGGACATAAGCTTATTTCCATCACTCAATAACAGATCTTTGAGGCATTATTAACACAATTAAAATCTTTAATGTATATATTACCTGTTTCTTGAAATTGCTTCTGAACATTTGTCCTTTTTTCTGAAAAGATAAGCCTGGACACACATATGACTTCATGTTTTCAAATATGAGCTTACCTGTTTTTTGTCAAGTGATAATTTTGAAAGGTCTTCATGACTTCCCCAAATTCCAAATTTCTTTTCTTCATTTCTCTTTTAAAAATAGATAGTAAGATGAGTACAATTGCTAATTCTTCATTTAGAATTACAAAAACAATTTCATTCTTTATTCCATATCTTAAAAGCCATCTGGTCTGATTCTGTAGCAAGTTTCAAGAAGAGAAACATGTTCTTATTGGGTGCTTCCCATTGGTGAGAACAATGAATTCTCTCAGGTTGCTGTTCCATTAGAACTGTAAACTCCATTAATTAATGTAAGTAAAGGAGTATTAAGTAAAGGGAGGGACATTCCTGCCATCAACCCACTGAGTTCTAGAAGTTAGACATCCAGAAGAGTGCTATAGATGGCCTGTTTCTCCAAAATTTTACACAGTATAGTAATAACTACATTTAAAGCAGGTTTTATAATTCTCAAGGTCCTGGGGCGCCCGGGTGGCTCAGTCGGTCAAGCGTCCTACTTCGGCTCAGGTCATGATCTCACAGCTCGTGAGTTCAAGCCCTGCATCAGGCTCTGTGCCGACAGCTCAGAGCCTGGAGCCTGCTTCAGATTCGTGCCTCCCTCTCTCTCTGCCCAAACCCACTTGCATTCTGTCTCTGTCTCTCTCAAAAATAAATAAACATTAAAAAAATTATAATTCTCAAGGTCCTTTTATATACGCATTTCATCTTTATGATGTAGATATAATTTTTATTCCCATAGTACAGTTGAAGAAACTAAAGCTCGGAGAGTTTATTATTTATTTGAGAACCCCAAATGGTGAGTGGCAAGCAGAGCAGGAATTAGAATATTTCCTTTTCTCTCAGTGATAGAATCTTAGAATGGCTAGAAACTTTTACGATCATTTGGCTCAACTGCCCACTCACCGTTGGAATATCTTCTATAAATTCCTAATATTGGTCATTCAGCATTTATTGATTACATGCAATGATGGGGAACTTACTACTTTGCAAGACAGCCCACTCTGTTAGACAGATATTTTCTTTGATTTTTTTAATGTTTACTTATTTTTGAGAGAGAGACAGAGCGTGAATAGGTGAGGGGCAGAGAGAGAGAGACACAGAATATGAAGCAGGCTCCAGGCTCCAAGCTGTCAGCACAGAGCCCAATGAGGGGCTCAAACTCACGAACCTCAAGATCATGATCTGAGCTGAAGTTGGACCCTCAGCCGACTGAGCCACCCAGGCGCCCCTGGACAGATGTTGTTGTGACAAGTTTGTTTTTAAATAGAACTACAGCTGAACTATTTGCAACTTTTGCCCATGGCATCTCTCCCTGTTTTTGAAGGGACAAAAAACAAGTATACCCCCTAGTCAAAACTGAGAGTTCTAAAGATATTCGCCTTGTTCCCCTTCAATCCTCCTTTTTTGGACGTAATCCCCAAGTCCTTCAACTCCCCATCATATGATGCCTTACATGCACCTGTTCCCATGCTGGCCCTTCTCCTCTGAATGCATCCATCTCTCATTGCTTCTCCTGGATGTGGTTCTGCACCAGCAGAGTTCCTGCACAGGGTAACTGCCCCTCCTCCATACACAGTGGCACACAACTTTCCACACTTCTGAATATACTGCTAACCCTCATCTAAACACTGCACCTCTTCTATGTTTCTTGAGATTGCTTCCTGCATAACTGTTTCCAGTTAATACCCCTAGATCTTTCTTTCTTGAACTACTTAATGCCAAGCCTAGACTCACATATTACATGTGAGTAATTGATTTCTAAGTTTTCAGTGAAGAAGGTAGAGTCTGTCAAATTCCCCCAGGCTACTGATGCTTTACCAGGCTGTGTGAACTGAACATGAGGTGGGGCTTGTGGCCACAACAGCAAAAATGGGGCCAGAATAGCTCTCCTTTCAAGTACCCTCTACAGACAATGTAATACATTATTATAGTTACATTTCATGAATTTTTCCTGTATTCTTTTAAGTAGGAAATGTCCAAAGTGTTCCTCTCAAGTAGATACAAGCCAAAGGACTGTGCTCATTTGGCAATGATCGGACGTGTCATCATGGATCACTTCTTTTAAATGATCCTAGCATTTAAACACATAATTTTAAATTATCAAGTCAAATTACCTTGTTCATCTCTGCATCCTCCTGGAAACCTTTTTTATGGGCCTGGAACATCTCAGAAATCCATTTTTTAAGCCTCAGTAAGAGATAAAACAGGGACTTTGGACTTGGCACCAGGTTGAAGGGAACAGGTAATGTTCTCCCCTCTTCAAAGTAGGAAAACCAAAGCTTGGCCCTTGCAAATTTCCACTCGACATCAGCATCGTCCTGTGCAAACACACACGTCAGTTCAGCAGAGAGATGTGAAAACTGAATTACTGCGATGCGACCCACACTGTGTACCTAGGCAGGAGCAATGGTGCCTGCAAACACTCTCAGGCCCCAAACACCACTCCAAGATTTTTTTAATGTTAAGGTTCTACTCACACTCTCTCCAAAATCTGTCTGAAATTTTATCAGGCTTAGAGAACTACAGATCTCAGAATGTGCTTATGTTTATAAACACCCTGAAAGGTATACATGGATTTTTCTACATTCTGAAAAGAACACTATGAAAAATTATTCACTCTTTTGTTCGACACAAGATCATAAGTTTGATTACTTTGGGACACATTCCAAAATTTCTGGAATAAAAGTTTGTATTATCACTCCAGATTCGAGAAATGGTCACTTTCAAAAATCACTACAAAAAAGATTTGAACACTAGTGGTATTTGTAAGCAACAATTTTTAAAAATAAAATGTAAATTCAAGCTGATATGGTATTTCTAAGGTTTTTTTTTTTAAAAAACAATAATGAATCTGACATTTCTCCTCCTTATGACCTACTACCCACCACACACATTGATGTTGCATTTGGAACCAAAGAGTTAAAATTTTCTAGATTACTGGACAAACAACTATATGAAACAGGCAAAGAACAAAAGGAAACACAGCCTATATTTTCACCACCAATGAGGAGTTGATGCCTGGCATAAGTTAAAACATGTAGTCACAGACTATACACATGTACAGAAATCATACCTCAATTTCCTGGAATGAACTGTTGATCATTGCAATTAACATATTTAACAAAACAATGACCATTGTGACATTATAGACTCCATAAAGAACATAACCGATATTTTCAATGAATTTGTGATTATAGTTGATGACCACCGACTTCACTTCAGAAAGTCCAAATATAGCCCAGAACAGTGTCTTAAAACTCTCCTCAACTCTGGGGAAAAATAAAGAGAGAAAGGAAATAATACAGTGTATAAATGACAATAATACCATAATAAAAGTGAGTTGATTGTGTGTTTGCAAATTACTAAATATTCATGAGAAAATCCTTTACTTCTATGAACCTCGGTTTTCCTTTCTGTAAAATGAATACAATAGGTTTTATTTCCCAGAAGGTTGCAGGGCTGAAGTCATACTGTGCATATGAACCAGTCAGCTCAGTATCTGGCACATAATAGGCACTCAATAAATGTTATTAACATAACTTCATAACCACAGATACTAACATAAGTAATCCATGGCTTTGGTAATGGAGTGTTAAATGTATTACTTAATAAAAATAATACAATGTTAGAGTCTTATTAGGTTTCCTGCTCATCTATACTTCTACTCATATCCAATAACAGTGTGTGTCTTAAGGAAAATGTGACAATATAAACATAGACGCTGTAACCAAAATCACTGACAAGTCTTAGGTAGGAATTTCAATGCTTTACACATAATTACTGACCAATGCTAAGCCCAGCCTAACCCAGCTGGTTTCATTTCTCTGATAAACTGCACTTTATGAGAATAGGGCTAACAACAGGTTATGCTTCAGTTGATGCTTCATATTGGAACATGGACCACCTAACATCTGAGTAATCTATTCTAAGCATATTTTATAAAAAACCACTGTGGCCGTGGTGAACCTCAGTCAAAACTGGGGTTGATAACCAGGATCTTCTCAATGAGAAGATCTGACAAAATGAATTAGGAAAGAAGCGGTTTTCCCTGTGCACCACCCCCCCAAGAGCCTCTAATGAGAAGGCTGTACGAGTAGGAACACACATTCTAGAGTCATGGACAAGAGGTTACATACAGCCTGGCTTGTCCATACACTAGCATCTCTGTGAAATTCAGCAAATTATTTAACTTTTCTGAGCTTTGTTTCTTCTTTTTGTGAAACAGAGATAATGAAATGTTGTGAGTGGTATTTTCCCAGAAGAACTGGCACTAAAATGTTAACTAGTATTGCTTAATGATAGGAAGGTGCCTATATTTTCAAGTTCTTCCAATTAATTTAAAAATCCTCTCTCGGGGCGCCTGGGTGGCGCAGTCGGTTAAGCGTCCGACTTCAGCCAGGTCACGATCTCGCGGTCCGTGAGTTCGAGCCCCGCGTCAGGCTCTGGGCTGATGGCTCAGAGCCTGGAGCCTGCTTCTGATTCTGTGTCTCCTTCTCTCTCTGCCCCTCCCCCCTTCATGCTCTGTCTCTCTCTGTCTCAAAAATAAATAAAGTTAAAAAAAAAATTAAAAAAAAAATCCTCTCTCATTGCTAAAGAGAAACTGGAGATGGAAGTCTTCACTGAAACATTGTCTATCCCATAGACACATATGAACACACTTAAGCTATCCTATAATTAATCTGCAGTCTCCATCATCAAAACATCCAAGATGACATACGTTGTGAAAGCTTCATTTTGTTTTGCACCAATGTAGTAGGAGTAGAGGTTGAACATTCCAATCATAAAGGCCACAAACACCATGATGAATATGACCATGAACTTGAAGATGTCCTTCACTGTTCTTCCAAGTGATATCTGCAGAGGTCCAAAGCTTTCATTGGCTGGTAAAATATAAGCTATTCTTGAGAAACTTAGAACTACAGCAATTGCATAAAGACCTTCAGATATAATTTGAGGATCAGAGGGGTCCCACTTTATCCTGGCTAGGAAAGAGAAAACACAAGAGTTATCATGAGTTTTTTTAAGTTGTTTACTCAGGCAACTTCTTTTCTGCTACTAAAGAAATATAATTACATTAGCCATCAAGTCTCTAAAGGAAATCTGTTATCTTACAGGGCTTCTATAAGGGTCAGGTATATGGGAGCTTCTGAATATACTGAGAAAATGAGCCCCCTGGTCTGCCGGCAATTTTCCATAAGCATACAGCAAAATGGTTAAGAGCTAAAACTAGGGACGCAGCATATGAAAAAATTCCAGTGTGTGTGTGTGTGTGTGTGTGTGTGTGTGTGTGTGCGTGCGTGTGCACGCGCGCGCACACGTGCACACACATCCCTACCAGAAGAACAGGTACAATTATTTAACTTTTCTTACTTTCATTTTCCCATCTTTAAAAATGAGACAATACCACTCCACCTTCTCTCATCTACTTGCAAATTCATTAAGTCAATGTATAGTCAGTGTTCAGGAAGTGCTTGGTGCTGCATAATTGGTAGCATTAATTATTTAATCTTAAACTTATAATTACACTATAATGCAATTTGGGGCTTGCAAAGTGCAGTTATTTCAACTAGAAGTCATTTTTATTGATCACTCAAATAAGTATTTTTACCATAAAAATGTAGTAATTATTCATTTTTAAAAATTTTCTGGCATTATTATATTAGTTCATCAATAGTTCACCCAATATTAGTTCATTGGGTTAGTTCACCCAATAGTTCATTGGGTTCATCAAAACCCAATTAAGAAACCATTATGAGGAAAAATGCAAAACAATGCGTAAGAAAGAGGAAAAACATGATTTGCTGATTTGTATTTGCTTATTTGTTGGGAAGTAAAATTAGTAAAGGATACAAGAAACTAATAAAAGCAGTTTCCTTTTTTATAGTAAGTTAGTACAATGTATGGATAGCTTTGACTTTTTAGAATTCTGTATATGAAAAAGTATTAAACATTAAAGTAAATATTTTAAAAATAATAAAAAGATCTCTATGTGATCCAGCCAACAAACCCACGGAGATGTCAACTGAATGTTAACAGATTTCTTATCAGAGCATTATAGTAAGTACCAACAAGGGGTCTATTCTCCACCCACTAGGTCTCTTCAAGGAAGGGTCTTCCCTCAGCAAACAAAGGCATCTCTTTCCTCGCCCTCCCCCACCCTGAGGTGGATCACCTCATCTGACTCCTATTTTGGGACAGCAGATAAGCGAGCGCAGTTGCTTCGGCTCCACCCTCCTCTGCTCCTCCGCTAAGGGACCTCACACCACCATTGGCTCATTCCTGCCTTGGGGGGGACTGCCCTACCCATGTTGTCCAGAGACCAAAGGATGCACCTGCCTGATTCTGGAGGGAAATTTCACCGAGCCCCTTGGCTAGGAGACCCAGGACTATGTCATCTGCCTGGAACTTGATGGGTATTAGAGGCCACGCTCCAGCCTCTATCGCTTTGTTTTGTTTCTCATCTGCCTGGCAGGTTCGAAGCCTGGCAGGGAAACTGTGGTGTCGTGTATCAGGAGCCATCCAGAGACACCAGCAGCTCCCTTGCTGTCACACAGTTTATGTGTTTTGAATGGAAATGGTACTCAAATGTGTACTGTTTTTACTAGACAAGAAGAACAAAAAAATCTAAGACCTAAGACAGGCATTCCCAGTGGAGTTTGGTAGTTGTCAACTGATCGAGGAGAGAGAGCGGGAGGCATCCAGCCGGCAAGGAGATCAGGAAGGGAGAAGCCAAAAGCACACGTCTTCACACAGATGCTTCTGAAGATGCCAGTAATTCTGTGAGAACTGAGCAGGAGCCAAACTACTAGTCACTTCCTTTCATCAGAAAACTCTGCATATCTATTAACTTAAGTTGACTGTGCACTACAAACTCACCCAAATTGTAATACTTCACATTGTCTCCCAGTGTGACTTTGGTCAAGTCCTTCAAAGTATCATTTGCATCAATGATGTGTTGGGCTTTGGAAGCATGCCAAAATGCCATGAATCTCGCAATGAATGATGCAGCAAAGATCGCCAGCATACCAAAATCAAGCATATTCCACAACTCAAACAAGTATTCCTTGGGGCCTTCCGTCCAAATTTCTTTACATTCGGCCCATATCATGCCTGCATTGGAAAGGGGTTAAAATAGACCCAATTCAATTTCATTCCAGCTTTAGCTCTTCAACAGAACAAAGTAAGTTTGAAAGGTCTTGGCCTGACATTTGAAGCCCTTCAAAATCTGGCCTCTTCCCACCCGTCCAACCCTAAATGCCACGTCCCCACAAAAGCCACAGTCCAGCAGTATCAGTGCATCAGCTAAAAGCAGTCCGACAAGGTTCAAGCGTGTCCAAACAATCTCTGGTATCCACGGATCCTATACATAACAAGTGTATTTATGACATGTTCACGGCGGACTCTTCATAATAACCAAAACATCCAAACACAGCTGCTCACACAGGTAAAACCTAAGTGATCGTGGACCTCCACAGATGGAGTATTATGCAGCCATGTAATATATATTTTAATTACTATGGAGTAGTGGCCACAAGCACAGACCTCACAGACCTCCAACTACAGGAACTTAATTGGCTAAGGGCCTCAGCAACCGCATTCTGGAACCGTGGGCGCTTTTCCCCCAAGGCCATGCTTCCCAAAGGCTGCTTCCAGCTGGTGACTGAAGGTACCCCTTCTTGGGAGACCCTGGGCTTCTCTGATGCCTGACTTCGGCTCAAGTATTTCCTGCCAGCTTTGCTGACCTGTCCTCAGACTGAATAGACATCTGAGATGCTTGTATCAGACCTTCCCTCCCTGCCCTCTTACCTCAGGATCAGACTTGCCTCCCCCATCTGACAGCCCCTGAAACCTTCCTCACTCCCCTCCCCATTCCCTCTCAGTGAACGCCCTTTAGCAAAACTGTTGGCATTTAACCCTGTCTCTGCCTGTGCTTCTTGGACGGCCTAAGACATGTTGGAAAATGTTTATGGCATAAACATTTAAACATGCTAGGTAAAGGAGTAAAAAGTGTCATAGAGTCTACGACTTTATGTTTAAAACCAGCACCATATAGGACTGCACAGAGTCACAGGAGCATATTATTCATGGTCACCTCCTGCTGGTGGAGTAGTAAAGACACTACACTCTCACAAGAAGTCAGCATGCTGCTTAGGAGCACAGGTTTGGGATCGGAGTGCCATGGCTTGGGACCCCGTTCGTCCACTCATTGGCAGTGTGATCTCTGGCACATTATTTAAACTTTCTAAAGCTCGGTTTGTAAAATGGGGACGACAGTGGTTTGTATCTACCTCACAGGGTTGTTTTAACACTTAAATAACGCGTGTAAAATGCACAGGGCATGTGGCACTTGGAAAAAATAACACCAAATATTTATTGAGCACTTACCATTTTAAATTTTCTATGACTGGCACATACTTTATCTTTTTTTAAAATTTTTTTTAAGGTTTATTTATTTTTGAGATAGAGGCAGACAGAGTGCGAGTGGGGGAGGGGCAGAGAGAGAGGGAGACACAGAATCTGAAACAGGCTCCAGGCTCTGAGCGGTCAGCACAGAGCCCGACGCGGGGCTCGACCTCAGGGACCGTGAGATCATGACCTGAGCCGAAGTCGGACGCTTAACTGACTGAGCCACCCAGGCGCCCCTACTTTAGCTTAATTTAAAGGATGTTACTGTGTTAACAAGATGTTGCTTTACACCATTACCTTTAAGATATTCTTTCCAACATTGTACCTACTTCTAGAGCCATCTGCAGAAATATAACCCAAGCTCCAATGATCGATCAAGCCTACCTCTATTAAGAAGTCTGTCGTAGTCCCCCGGCTGAAACTCATCTCCTCCCCTCCCCAGCAAGCACCTGCCCCACATCCTTACGCTCGTCATGACCCTCTATCACAGAGCCCACACACAGCTTACTGTGGGCTTTTCTCAAAACCGGCATTCTGCGCACACAGAGGAAGACAACTTCATTACTTACTTGAGTGCTTCCAAGGTACGAGGGATCTAGGACTGGATTCGCACCTATGCCAGTGGGTCAGGTTAAAACAAGAAATCCTGCCTGTGTGCTGGTACACACCCCCAGGCACACAGTGAGCAGGAGTGAGGGAAGCCTCCTCCAGGCTGTCCCTCTGCAGGCTGCAGGAATGTGGAGTGCCTGCAGCACAGGGGCCGAGGCACCTCTGAACGCCATCCAGCCTAGTTGTGTAGGGCCTTCCGTCCTGCTGGACTGCAGCTTTTGTGGGGACGTGGCATTTAGGGTTGGACGGGTGGGAAGGGGGCAGATTTTGAAGGGCCTCAAATGTCAGACCAAGACCTTTCAAACTTACTTTGTTCTGTTGAAGAGCTAAGGCTGGAAAGGAAGGCTCTCCCCCTCCTCTCCCACCTGCCCGCCACCTTTCCTCTCCAGACATAGAATTCTTGATGAAGCCTCATCTTACCAAAGCTTAAAAAACAAAACACAGTGAATTAGTCTGCCTGAAGGAAGCTTCCGTCCTGTTCACTCCAAGGAGCCCTGGGGGCTGCCAGGCACAGCTGAGAACCCCCCAGCCTGGGCAGCTTCTCGGGGCAGGGGAGACTTCTACCTGGGTGTCGAGCCGGAGACAGGTGGCCAGACTGCTGAAGGCTGCCCGTCCCACAACTGGGTTTTCAGAAGAATCGCTTCAGTGTGGATGTGCCGCAACAGCAGAGAATGAGCAAACGCCCTCTGCCTCTAAACTTCTCGAAACAAAACAGAACCACCTGTGTGCTCATTCTGTCTATGCCCCAGGAAAGGCCGGTTTACCATGAAGCCTGAGCCCCGTTTCATCTTCTTTCTCTTCAGATGAGGCTCTCCAAATAAATAAGGGTCCTCTTACCCCCACCCTCCAGAGTGGTCTTTCCCAGTCTCCTCAAGAGCTGCTCCATGGCGGGGACACTCACTGCCGTGGCTGCTCTCCTGGACATGCTCCCGCGTGTGGCACTCAGATGTGGTCTGGACACAGACGGCTCACACAGTGCCCCCCGGGATCTTTGCACATCGGCATCACCAAGCGTGTCTCCCCCACTGTGTTCCTGCTGCACCCCCCTCTCAGGGGTCTCAGCTCGCCAGTCAGCCTCATCAAGCTCTCCTGCAGCTCAGTTCCATAATTCAGCATTCCAAGTTTGTCTCCAGTAAAAACTGGATAAATTTGCCTTCTGCGAACAATAGAAGGCCTCAAGCCCACCAGCTGACCCAAATAGGCCATTTCTTACTAATATTTCCAGAAGGCACAACAGCTTTCTTTCCAGAACAACTCCAAGAAGAAAACGATTATCCACGTCAGAAACCAACACACAAGTCTGACTAATGCTGTAATGCTGAAGCTGCCTGCTCTGGCTTTTCCTATAAACAGACCCTGTGAGCGAATCTGGGAATCTCAGGTAGAAAGGGTGCTGGGCCAGCAGTTCTAAGGAAAATGTATTCGTAACATTAAAAGTTAACATAACATTCCTGGTTTAGATTTCTAAGTGAAAAGGGAAAAACTTCTAATGTTTATAATAAAATATTAGTATGAGGTGCATTATATTTGATAAAGGATAAAAATGAACATTCATTATATCTAATCCCCTTACACAAAATTGAATGTTTTCAAAGTTTCATCTTGAACTAGAATCTTATCTTGCTTGTTTTCAGTAGGAAATACCACTCCTATATAAAAGTAACAGACACTCTCAATGAAAAGTCTAATAACCATAACTACCTGAAATTTATTAAACATCTCCTACGTGCCAAGCACTGTGTTACATACTTTATACTCACACACACAGACACTAGCACATAGGCGGTTAGTTTACTAAGATAAAGGCAATGTCCAAACGACTGTTCTTATTTTAAATCCAATGCTCTAAGTTGGAATGTAATTTATTTCTTGTAGTTCTGTGATATAAGGTAAGTATCAGTTACACTGGAAAAGAAGTAGTGAGAAATCACACTCTTCTTCTTTATCCAAGGCTTATATTACCCTCGGTGATGTAATTCACACGGTAAGCCCTCATTCCCATTTCTCCGGGGTGCTGTATTTTCTAGTATTTGGTGGGCATCTTCGCCTGAAAATCCCCAGGGCACTTCAAAGGCAACTACAACCCAGACTTAGTCATCAGCTTCTCATTCTCCAGGCACCAATGGTGATCGTCCCTCCGTTCTCTCCCTCTCAGAGAAGTGCAGCACCGCCGAGTGGTCCAGGGTGGAGTCCACATCTCTCCCTCCATGGGCACAGTGCACCACCAACTCCCCGAGGCCTGAGTCTCCACCCTCACCCTGCTCTCAGGGAGCCAGTGGTGGGCTCTCAGCCTCCATACTCACCGTCCTCTGGCTAAGATGTGACAGAGCCATCACCAATGCTGAAAGCCACCCTCAGCCATCTTGCCTCACTGTCTGCCATCACCCATGCCCTCAAAGGCACCTGCCTAACTCCTTACATTTCAAGGGTGCCTGGTGCACCCTAAGGCCCTAGCTTCACATGCAATGTTTCCACACCTTGTAGCGTCCGTACTCCCCCAAAACCTTCTGCCCAGCTAACACTACCTCATCTCCAAAGTCTTAGATGGAAGGTACCATCCAGGGAGGCCGCCTCTGCCCTTTCCACAACCCACCCCATTCTAGACTTAGATGTCCAGTCTGTGTACATTCACAGTACCCGAATCGTGCCTCAATTACAGTATTTGTCTCAGTGGTTTTCATTATTGATTTACTTATTGACCTCACCCCCACACTTAACTCTCCTGGCTGCAAGGACTGGGTCACATTAAGCTCAGGATCCTCCTGACCTAACGAAGGCACCACTTGCCTATTTAATCTATTCATTCGTAAAATCCGACTGAAATACCTTTCTCGTTTGCATTATGTTTAAGGGCAAGCCATGTGTACAATTGATTCTGATGACAAATAGTGTATTAGTTAAGACTGCTTTCCCTCTGCCTCACCTGTCATTGGGAGATCTAAAGGAAATTACTCAATCCTCACCTGAACATTGTAAATAGATGCTGGTATCATGTTACAGATTACAAAACCAAGGTGCAGGGAGAGTGTGTGAGTTCAGGCATGTGAAGGGCTTTGAACAGTTCTTGGTACATAATAAAGTTCAATACATGTGAATGACTATTAGCTTTGGTTCCCATTACATCTCAACATAAAATCATGCAGTCGTTGTGACATCTGAAGTCCTAGCTCTCCCAAAACATGAATGGGAGTACTTCGTCCCTGGCAGGATTCAATTAATACTATCTTATTGTTTCCTCCTGGGTTTTTCTTGGAAACTTAAAAAGCACATGGCATGTGACAAAGCTGTGCCCCAATAATGAACCCGAGATAACTGTGTTTTAAAAACAGAAAATGATGCACTGTATCGTGCGGAATGTATTTGCATAGCTGATGTGTGAAGGAATCAGTGTCATTCAAAGTGCTAAGCTGTGAAAAAAAAAAAAGAACAAAACAAAGATGACACAATATCGGTCTTTACCTATTACCCAGGATATAATGAGCATCTCCATCCATGAGAAGCAGGACGTTTTCATCCTGAACAGCTGTTTTGCATTATCTGTGCTGGTTTCATTGGGAAGGAGTTTGGTGCCTTCAAATCTGTCAGCAGCATTCATCACCAGCAGCCCCAGAAAAATGGTGAAGGAAGCAGCGTGTGCCACAAACTTCATGAACGGTCCGCGCATAATCTTCCCCATCTGCCACAGTGCACAGCAAAAGAAAATCTTAACTTTGTTTTGTACACTTTGCAAAACACACACACGTGTGCACAAGAATAAATGTCTGGATACTGCAATATTCTCCTAAGAAGGTTACGTATATTTATATAATTGATGAAAGAACAGCAACCCTTTATGCTGTGCTAAAGCATAGCATCCACATATGCTGCTATTCTGGATTTATGTTTAAATAAATTAACTTTTGTGTTAAATGATACTTAAGTTCTAAAAATATTATATAACTCTGACAAATAGTATTTTACAACAAAAGGCAGGGCATGGTATCATCATCATTCATAAAAAGCAAACTACTTGGGGCGCCTGGGTGGCTCAGTTGGTTAGACATCCGACTTCAGCTCAGGTCATGATCCCTCAGTTCATGGGTTCAAGGCCCGCGTCGGGCTCTGTGCTGACAGCTCGGAGCCTGGGGCCTGCTTGCGATTCTGTGTCTCCCTCTTTCTCTGCCCCTCCCCTGCTCATGCTCTGTCTCTCTCACTCTCAAAAATAAACAAACATCAAAAAAAATTTTTTTAAGCCAACTACCTTACTAGGTACAAAGTGCTGAGGAGGCAGCAGTGAAACCACTGAACTGAATCTACTTTGCCTGGACCTTGGTCGACGTTGGCCTTGCTCGCTGCCCTTGTGTGTTTCACGGACACGCAAGCAATGCGGGTGTTGTGTGAACAATTCCAAGCAGAGAAATCCCCACTGAGGACAGGGCAGCAGGGCAGTTCCCATTATACATTCGGAACAATATCCTGGAAAGACACTGGATTGAAAATCCAAAATTTTCACGTCAGGTTCCAGTTTCATTCCCTCATTAGCTGAGTGGCAATGAGTAAATTTCCTAAACTATGTAAAAATCAGACTCTCTGTGTGAACTATGGAGGCAGTGAAAGCTCTTGTGCTTCTACAGGCCCGGATTAGTTTCCATCTGCGACGCACAAATCCCCCTCGCTACAGCAGAAGGATGCTTCGCGTCCGAGATGTGTCTCAGGGGCTCTGCGCACCCCCTAAGATGGTAACCGCCACCCAGGAGGTATGGACAGGACTCTTCCTTAGGAGAGGGTTCATAACTTCCAACAGCCTTTCAAGCGAACCTATTATTCCAGAAAAAAATGTGTAAATTGATAAACACACCACCAGCACTTAGCCAGCACTTGTTTGTGCCAAGTACTGTTTTCAGGGCTTTACTCTGTGAACTCATGTCACCATGACAATGGTTCTAAGAGCAGGTGCCCCTAAAATGTCACTGTTGTTGATGAAGAGGCTGACAAAGGTCCAGACACTGGCCTAAAAGTCACACAGCTCATACGTGGTGGAGCTGGAGCCTGAGAGCAGTTCTTGTTTCTGAGTTAATGCCTCTATATGGTTTACAAAACAATTTCATATTTTTTCATTGAGGTACATAAGTATGTCAGTTCTTCTAGAAAAAAAGAAGCTCCTTCTAATATTGAAAAAAGGTAAATAGAACAATGGAAGGAATATAATCAGTGTTCTCTGTTCCTACAGACTTTACTTGTTTATGTGGTTTTCAAAACCATAAAAGTTAAAGCTGAAATAAATCATACAGTTTAGTCCCTTCTCTCTTGGTATTTAGGATCTTATGTCAGAATATGAGAATGCATGTGCACACAAGTATTTATCTCACTGTATCTAGATCGAGCTAGCTAGCTAGCTAGCTTGAAGCCAATGGATCCAGAGAATTAGCTATATTTAGATATACTGCGGAGCCAATCCAAAGTTACTTTGTAAAACTCTGCTGTAATAATGTCTAAAAATCCTACTTTCATAAGAATACTCATTAGATTGAATCAAACAGTGTGTTTTTTTAAGATCCTGTTTAAGTAGAACTCTCAAATAATTGAGTAAGTGTAAAGCAAACACAAATGGGTAACACAGTAGGTTTGATTTTCTTTTGCCCACTGTCCTTAACTATGTTTCTGTACAAATATGAACTGTTACAGAGGTTGGGGATAAAAATGGAGTTGAGAATAAGCAGGTTGGATCACTCTGGGACATGAGGTGAACTGTCCTGGACAGTGTCCTGTCCCTCAGGGCAGAGTGTGCGATTCCCCACTTCCACTGGGGTGTGGCCCTTGTGTAATATTGGCTCCTTCTTGATTTTATTCAGAAGGGGGAGAAGAGACTCAAGCCAGGCATTTTTGCTGTTATGAAACATGCTGGTTTAAAGGGGGAAAAAGCAAACAAACAACAAGCAAACAAAAAGTTCATTGGCAGGAAACTAAAATGGTGTGTTCAGATATTTATCATACCCTCTATTTCTTATTACAAATCATTTAGAGTTTTGTTTCTCTTTTAACTAAGGGAGATTTTTGGCACCATTCAGTGGACTTTAAGAATTGAAGTGAGTTATCCATTTTAGTAAAATTTGTCATTTATACATTGTGGGATGTAAACAAATTTCTAATAAGGTTAAAGAAGGGCACTAATCAATCGAATAAGGTGAATAATTAATGCACCTGACAAATTTTTGAGGTTAAGCACTGAAAGAAATACTTGGCTTTAAATATTACATATTATACTTTTTTCAAGTATTTTTAATGACTAAATACCTAACTCCAAAAACCGATAGAAACAGAAAAGTTTGAAGATAGCTTAAGCTAAAATGGTTTGAAATCACAGCATGACCTATTTTTATTTTATTTTATTATTTTTTTAATGTTTACTTATTTTTGAGAGAGAGAGAGTGAGGGAGGGAGGGGCAGAGAGAGAAGGAGACACCGAATCCAAAGCAAGCTGGAGACTCTGAGCTGTCAGTCCCCTGACGCAGGGCTTGAACTCATGGACCATGAGCTCACGACCTGAGACAAAGTCGGATGCTTAACTGACTGAGCCATCCAGGCACCCCTGACCTATTTTTATTGTAATGACCATAAAACATATTTGGGTTATGGTGTTAAAAGAAAATAAGTGAAGAAAAGAAAGTTTCTGAAAGAAGAAAGCAGACTTGAGGAAAGAAAACCCAAATTTAAACAGGAACAGACTCTGTCAAGGTGCACAGGCTTGCAATTAGATGCCTTAATTTTCATGGATGTATTGGAAATTTTTTAGTATTTAAAATGATATTTTAAATAAAAGCATTAATTTTGAGCAATCTTCCCCCATAACCTGTGAATAATGTTTATGTTCACTGCTAAGGGAAAATTTGTGAAAATCGATTATATCATAATGCTTCAAAGGCTAAATAACAGGCAGTAAAACAGATTTTAGATATTAAAATAAAATACCTTAACAGTGTCCTTATAATTTAATTATTTGCCTCAAGGTTCCTACACAAGGATGAAAAACAGATGCCAAGAAAGAAACATGACCAGGGAAGAAGAAAATAGTAAAGGAAATCAGGTTAATTGGGATTCAGTCAAAATCTAAGAAATTCTACAGACTGCCCCAAATAGTCTCCTGTCAGAACAGCAAGCATTCTGAAAGGCATCATGCTTCAGAACTCACTGGATATGGAGAAGGACAAATACTCAGTTTAGGAAGATATTGTAATTTTACTGAGCACAGGGTAATCAGTGAACAAGGATAATTCAAAACATCCCCACCCCCACATACTTCATTCAGCTCACATCTCTGAAGACTTAGGAAATGTACGTTAAAGAGAGAAGAGACAGTAAATGCAAAGATGGAGCCCATGTGCCCATAAGGATGGGTCAGAATTTTTGTTTCAAAGTGAAATCTGTCATTTCTGTGAAAAGGGAACAAAAAGAAAACTGTACCTTTCTAGAAGAAAATCTATGCTGCAAATTTCTAATTCTAGTAAATCTCACTATTTTCATCATTTATGTTGTACTTATAAAAGCTCAGTTTTGGGGCCTTATCTTTTTAAAGGAAAAACAACGCATAATGATAGCTTTTACCCTCAGGAGAAAACGCCCAGTTTCCAGCGGGTTTCTATCATTGCCACCACAAAGAATAATGTTGTTCCCTCTCTGTAGAAAGTCTTGCACCTATAAACCATTTAGGAAGGTCCTAAGCTAAAGCATCAAGTATGTGACTATGTAATAAGAAGACAGTATGTTGGTAATGGGGATACATGTGTTTGCATCCATGTGTTACAAAGTTTGAAAATGAGTCAGGCCCACGTTAAGAACAGCAGATATTGAACTGGCATTTTCACAGAGCACACGGATGGTCCAGCTGACATTTCAGCCACATAGCTTTAGAATTATTTCAGTCTGACTTTCAGATTTGAAACTTAAACGTTACAGAAATGTGGTTTCAAAAACAAGGAAGAATAAGATTTTTGGCAATGCAATTCTGTGCCTGTTAACAGACTGATAGGTCCACATGTTTCACACTTGTTCCATCACACTAAAGAAAGGCTGGATCCATCTGAACACATTTTCACCAAAGTCTGGGCACATGGATTTTGCTGATAGGCTATCTTTGCTGTCCAGTTACGGATTACTCCATCCCTAAAGTAAATATTCTTGACTGAACCAAGCATCACATTAGAATTTACATGACTATTCTTTATTTAGATTAAGATTTATCTGGTAATATGAGCTAAATAAATACAAAAAAAAAAACTTTAATCTCAAACTTTGTCAAAGGAGGAATAAAAGATAAAAAATGTTTATCTTTTAGGATTATATTTGAAATATGTGCTCAATGCATACTATAACCTCAAAACATATATGAATTAGACATGCCTACAGAGAGGATGGAAACATAGTAACTAGGTTTTCTTTCTCAATTTAACAGTGGTGCTATTGTAGGTTAATTTTCTACCCACTTTTCCCCTTATTTCCTATAGCAAATAGATGTCATTTTTGTAATATTAAAATCAATAATATTATTTAAACCCAACTCTGACATCTATGAAATTTTCATTTGGAAAACAGAATTTTCCTTGCTTAACTGGCTCTGATATATACAGCTTGACCTACTTGTAGGTGACGATAAGGTCCAGGCTTCACAGACATACCTTGCTGCATGGAGCAAACCAGTAAATGAGAGCCAGGAAGGGCAATCCGACAGCAACCGCCAGGACCACGAGAAACTTAACCGCCATGGTCTGCTGCCGCAGACCGGAGAGGTTCTCATACCATATGGACAGAAGCTGCTGTTGACAGTTTGGATGAGCTACAAACTAGCAGGGAAGTGACAAAACATTTAATAGCTTGATTAAAGAAAAGTTCACCAACTCTTGGATTCTAAATATTTTGTTCTGTGGTTTCCCATGAAAACTACTGTTAGAAATAAAGAGTAAACATAGAACATCTAGCTGACAAGCATCAAGCAAGGCGGCAGGAGGTTCTAACATGTATTATATAAACTCGAAGATTCCAACTTATCAAATTTTTCCTTTATAACTAATGGGATTTCCTTGAAAGTATAGAAAAAATTCTGAAATTTAATATTATAAAAAGATTCGTAAATGCTTCACATAAGGACTTTTACATTTATATGTTATTTTCCATCTAGAAACAGTGATGTAAAGATCCTACTGGCCCAGGGGTGCCTGGGTGGCTCAACTGGTTAAGCATCAGACTCTTGATCTCGACTCAGATCATGATCCCAGAGTTGTGGGATCCAGCCCTGCATTCCTGCACTGGGCTCTGTGCTGAGCATGGAGCCTGCTTGGGATTCTCTCTTCCTCCCACTGCCCCTCTCCTGCTGCTCTCTCTCTCTAAGAAGAAAGAAGGAAGGAAGGAAGGAAGGAAGGAAGGAAGGAAGGAAGGAAGGAAAAAGAGAAAGAGAGAAAGAAAGAAAGAGAGAAAGAGAGAAAGAGAGAAAGAAAGAGAGAGAAAGAGAGAGAGAGAGAGAGAGAAAGAAAGAAAGAAAGAAAGAAAGAAAGAAAGAAAGAAGGAAAGAGAGAAAGAGAGAGAAAGAAAGAGAAATCCTACAGGCCCAGATGTTTAAATACTTTCTTAAAACAGCATGCCATCTGTTCTGCACTGACCTACAATGCTAAACTTATTAACTCCCATTTGTATATGGGTCTGCTTCTGGACTGCCTATTCTATTCACTGATGTATTTTTATTTCTGTGCCATAAATTCTTTCAATTAACAAAACTTTATAATTAAATTTTACTTGTTATTTTTCAGAATTTTTAAATTCTCACATATTTATTTTCTACAAAGAATATATGGCAGGGGGCAACATTATTTAATCTACAAAAAGCAACAATGCAAAATAAAAATTGATAAAAAATGTTGAAAGGTTAAAAGAACTACAAATGCTTAAGGATGGCTCATCTCGAAGATCATTAAAACAAGAAACAATGTTTATCTTCTCAGAGTTGCAAGATTTAATAACACCTATTGTGAGTAGAAAAAATAAGCCCTCTCATACACCTCTGGCATGTATGTAAACTGCTGCACTGTTTTTAAAGAAAACTTAGCAAATGTTTTAAATTAACAAAAACCTGAAGAAAGTAATAAACACCCTTAAATAGTAAGCTGATTAAATGAAATAGTGATATAACAACACAGCCTTTGAAAAGATGAGATGGATGTTTATTTACTGAAATGTGAAGATGTACAAGATATGAATTTGTGGAGAGTAATATAGTGGAGAGAAACTACTCTCCATTAAGAATTGAGAAGACAGGGGTGCCTGGGTGACTCAGTAGGTTGAACATCAGACTCTTGGTTTCGGCTCAGGTCATGATCTCATGGTTTGTGAGTGTGAGCCCCCGCTTCAGGTTCCATGCTGATAGCAAGGAGCCTGCTTGAGATTCATTCTCTCTCTCTCTCTCTCCCTTTCTCTCTCTCTCTCTCTCTCTCAGCTCCTCTCTCTCTCTCTTTCTCTGGAAATAAATAAATAAACATTAAGAAAAAATAATTGGGAGGATCAAGGGAGCCTGGCTGGCTTAGTCAGTGGAACATGCAACTCTTAATTTTGGTGTTGTGAGTTCAAGCCCCACGGTGGGTATAGAGAGGTTGCCTAAAAGTAAAATCTTAAAAAAAAAAATTGGGAAGATAGAAAGGGGGCATATCTATACTGTTTTATCCTTAAAAGTATAGTTTTGGGGCGCCTGGGTGGCGCAGTCGGTTAAGCGTCCGACTTCAGCCAGGTCACGATCTCACGGTCCGTGAGTTCGAGCCCCGCGTCGGGCTCTGGGCTGATGGCTCGGAGCCTGGAGCCTGTTTCCGATTCTGTGTCTCCCTCTCTCTCTGCCCCTCCCCCGTTCATGCTCTGTCTCTCTCTGTCCCAAAAATAAATAAACGTTGAAAAAAAATTAAAAAAAAAAAGTATAGTTTTAAAGATACGTAACCTAAGAAAGCAATCAACAATGGGAAGTGCTGCATGAAGACAGAGACTGAAAATGCCCCACAGATACACAAGGTGCAGGAGGAGATTCAAATGTTCTAAAGCAGGAACTGAGGGCACTGGTCCTGGATCGGAACACAACAGATGGGACCTGGAACGGAGTCTCAAACACTGATGTTCCTCTCACATGACCAACGCCTTACCATCTGGACACACGAAGTCATTTCTATACCATTAGTTAAGTAAAGGAGAGTGGCTGGCAATCAGGGCATAAACACGTCCAGATGTCACAGACTTGTGTGGAGTGTAGGTTACATGACTCACAGCCAAGCACGTATGATTAGAGAAACTGCCTCATGCAACTAACTGTTGGTTAGAAAAACCCAGCTCGAGCTGATTATGCCAACTCTTCAGCCTTATACAGCAGCAGTAAGAACGGAAATGATGTAAATGGGGCTTCAGGTCTGGCCTTACTTTTTTTACTTCATATTTAATGGCAAGTTTCAAGCGGCTGAGATTTGGACGGCTGTGATCTCCCCCACCATGATACACTTCGATGTTCCCATTCAGAATGGCCTCCACTTCTTCGGTATTTCTGCACAGATCAAGGAGTCCAACAACAAAATCCTTGCACTGCATTGACAGTTTTTTGTAGTCATTCTGGGAAAGACAAAGCAAAACAAAAAACAATAATGGAGAAGTAGCACATTTACTAGGTGACGCAGTGGAATTTATCAGTCACTTGACAGTTGGGAGAGGAAACAAACAGAAAAATTCTATCTTTGGGTTTACTGTTCTTTTAATGTGCTTTAACTGCTGTTCTACTGAGTGATTTCTGAAGTATCTTAGCACCATAAAGATGTTCTTCATATCCAAAGAAAGGAAATTTATCTAAAACATTAGCAAAGCTATTGAATAGCGTACTGTGCCCAAGTCACCTATAGGATCAGGAGAATATGAAGTAAGCAACTTTTCCCACAGCAGGATCCTACCACTTTGCATACATCATGTCTCATGTTCATGACTTCACCAGCAAGCACATCATGTACATTTGGTAGATCTTTGTAAGATCGTGTAAACTGTTGGTAAACTTGAGAAACACAGGGCATTTGGAGAGATTCCAGAGAAAAGCAAACATATGTCATTTATCTATTTAATAAATTGTGTTGAGAAACTTAGCGTACCAAAATCAGGGTCCAAGACAAGATCTAATATAAAATCTGAAAACCAGGATTCTTCTTTGGAGAAAAGAAAACTTAATGCAAATGCTTCTGTTGTAATTTGTTGATGATGACCTAATGTTACGTTGGGAAGACTTAGGAAGTATAGATTATATTCAAACATAAAAAATTCACATCTTGAAAAGATGCCCTACATCACTGATGACCAGAAAAATGCAAATCAAAACCATAATGAGATACCACCTTACATCTGTCTGAGTGGCTAAAATCAAAAAGACATGTGTTGCCAAAGATGTGGAATAAGAAGAAGCCCCCATGCACTGTTAGCAGGAATATAAATGGTACAGATGTGGTGGAAAGCAGTATGGAGGCTCCTTAAAAAATTAAAAATAGAAATACCATAGGATCCAGTAATTTTAACACTGGATATTTACCCAAAGAATATGAAAACACTAATTCTAAAAGATACACGGACCCTGATGTTTGTTGCAGCATTATTTACAATGGCCAAGAAATGGAAGCAGTCTAAGTGCCCATTGATAGATGAATGGGTAAAGAAGATGTGGTGTGTATGCTATGGAATATCACTCAGCCATAAAGAAGAACGAGAACTTGCCATTTGTGACAACATTATGGTATTATGCTAAGTGAAATAAGTCAAATAGTGAAAGACAAAGGCCATAGGATTTCACTTACATGTGGGCTCAAAACAGACAAACAAAGCAGGAACAGACCCACAAAAAGACTGGTGGATGCCAGAGAGGAGAGGCATGTGGGGGATGGACAGAATGGGTGGAGGGGAGTGGGAGGTAAAGAATTCTAGTTATGAAATGAATAAGTCAAGGGGATAAAAGGCATAGAGTCAGAAACACAATCAGTGATACTGGAATTGTGCTGTTAGGGGACAGATGGTGGCTATATACACTTGTGGTGAGCACAGCATGATGTGCAGACATGTTGAATCACCATGTTGTGCACCTGAAGCTGATGTGACACTATGTGTCAACTATATGTCAATTAAAAACACAACTCTGTCTAATGTATATACACCAGGTATTAACATCTTCATGCAGGTCTTTCTAATACTTCCTCCCCCTTTTTTCTCTTACATTGAAATAAGGCCATTTATAGGTCAATGTTAATCAAGAAAACCTATCAGCTTGAGTTTGTTGCATGGCAAATGGATTATATTACCTAATTTAACCTTTAGGTCACCTTGCTCAGTTTGGTTAAATAATGTGTCCAAGATCATGTAGCCGCTAAGTGTCAAAATCAAACATTAAATCCAGCTGTTAGGCCCCAAACCCTCTGCCTTTAAGGACTATGCCACTTTGTCCCTTCTTTGTAGAAAGCTTTTCTATTTTGAAAAGTGGGAAGAAGTAGGAAGCACGTAGGGCAAACACTATTCCCATTTTCCACATCAAAAAACTAAGGCTCCCTGAGGTCACATAGCCTCAGTGGCAGAGTTTACTCTTAGAGTTATAGCTTTGCTAGTTATTTCCGCCATCCTGAAGCCGCTGGTGTGTTTAGAATGAAAATGTCCCTTGGGAGAATCAGGAGAGGAAGATGGTGCAGTTCGAGCAGCTCTGGATGTTAGGCAATAAGGAGGTATTTTAGGGAAGCCTATATGGGTGTGGGTGCAGCACCTACCTGGGCTCCTCTCTGTAAATCCTGCCAAGTGACCTATTACAATTCAGTGGCTTCTAAACAGGCTATGCCTTCCTAACTGCGGGTCCAAACAGACTCCATGAAGGCAAACTGATGAAACAAATTCTGCCTAACGGAGACTGGCTCATGCTCCTTCTAAACAGGTATCTAGTCAGACAGTACAAGGAAGTCACAAGGAAACAGCTTTATCCTTTTCATGAAACAGTCAGTTAGGGTCACAGGGACAAATGTTAAGGTGTGCAAGTACATATGTTCCCCATGTCCACTGTCTATAGAGTGGTTAGGGGCTTGGGTTTTTCCACTCAAATACACCTGTAATCAAATCGCAGATCCTTCAGTTTTTAGCCATGTGATCTTAGATAAATTAAAATCATTCCATGAGGTAGGTGCTATTATTATTCCCATGTTACAAATGAGAAAACTGAGTGTTAGTTAGATTAAATAAGTGTTAAAGAAACTACACGTGCAGGGGCACCTGGGTGGCTCAGCTGGTTGAGTATCTTGGTTTCGGTTCAGGTCACGATGCCAGGCTGGTGAGATTGAGCCCCGCATCAGGCTCTGCGCTGATAGCTGCAGAGCCTGCTTGGGATTCTGTCTCTCCCTTTCTCTCTGTCCCTCCTCTGCTCATGCTTGCTCTCTCTCAAAATAAATAAGTAAACATTAAAAAAAATAGCTTTAAGAAAAAAGATTGTCTCTCTCCCTCTCTCTCTGCCCCTCTCTGCCTCAAAAGAGAAAGAAAGAAAGAAAGAAAGAAAGAAAGAAAGAAAGAAAGAAAGAAAGAAGAAAGAGAAAGAAAAGGAAAGAAAAGAAAAGGAAAGAAAAGGAAAGAAAAGAAAAGAAAAGAAAAGAAAAGAAAAGAAAAGAAAAGAAAAAAGAAAAAAAAAGAAACCACACATGCAAAGTACTTCGCATGGTGCTGAGCATTTGGCAAGCATTCCATAAAACACATTTATTTTATTCTATATCATCAAAGGCAAGATCTGAAAACAGGCTGTTTCTTGACATTTGTAAGTATCCTTGCAGCTAAAGGCAAAATTTATCTTGCTCTGAAACGTCTTTTCCCTCTTTCTCAGCCTCCTCAAATCCTATGCATTCTGCCCATACGCAGCTGAAATGCCATGTACCTGTACCTTCCCTGAAAACTAATCTGAATCAAATGTTGCTTCCTCTGGATTCCACAGCACATCACTTACAGTCCATCTAGTGACTTCACTTCTCTCTATATTGTATATATTTACGTGTGCATGTGTCTCTCAAGTCACCGTGACTTCCACCAGCTTATTCATCTTTCTGGCCTCAACAGCACTTCTCGCCATGCTGTGAACACAGACACAGTTCCAGAGGAAACAGAACCTGGCTGTAGGGTACAGCACGCCTGGACTCTGGTCCCAACTCTGCCAATCACCAGTTGTTGGTCTTGGGCTTTAACTGACCTTTCTGTGCCTCCATGTCTTCATCTGCAAAGCAAGTAAGGTTCTCAAGGTTGTGATAAGAATTAGACATAAATGTAAAGTCTATAGAATGTGTCTAAATGGTGGTGACCACAAGTGTTACGACATATCATTGTAACAAAGAGCTTGTTGAAAAAAAAATACAAAATTACCTCCTGTCCGCAGTAGCTAGCACAATCCTCAGCACCTATGGAAGCTTATGAATACACCTTGACTGATGAGTGAAGAGTGCAGTCCTTAACGTTACAGACCTACCTTGAACTCCTTCTCAATGTTGGCCAGCACGGCCAGCTCATTGCTGAGTTCTAAAGCTGTCATGACTGGGTCTTCACTAGACAGTGACAGGTAAGCTGGACTTGCCAGGCCCTTGTAGGCATTAATCCTAGATCTGGAGTGACTAAAGGAGTCATGCTTCTGTTTCTGGCTGCACTCACTGCACTTGCAGAAATAGTCATGAGGCCGTTCAATCCGAGCACCCTTCCGCAAGAGGGTATGCACGATTTCATATTCCTGGCAGTGGGCGGCCAGAATGATTGGAGTCACATCATGAGAGAACCGTGTTCCATCTTCATCATAGGCATAAAAATCATCTTGCTGCAGTTCCGACTGGCTGGGGCTGGTTGCTAACCTCTTGCCTTCAGCAAAAGCTGGATGACTGAGAATAGCTTCCACAATCCGAACATAACCTTTACTAATAGCTAGAAGCAAAGCATCCCCAACACGAGAGAGGTTTTCTTTCTTGAGAAGAAGTTCTGTAATTTCCAGATGCTCGTTGGCCACGGCCAACTGCAGGGCATTCTGGCCCATGTAATCCACACAGTTAACATTGAGGGACAGACATTCTTCTAACATCTTCCTCACCACTGGGATGTTGCCATATTCAGCAGCATCTAAAAAACGTTCCTCCTCAATAGATAAGCTTGTTGAGCGATCGTTAAACATGTAAGCTGGTCCTCGGTTGGCTAACCTTCTCCCCTTCTCACGGAGAATCGTCTGCCGCCGGTGGGCCAGTCTGTTGTCGGTGTCCTGGCTATAAGGAAATAGAAAGATTGGGAACAAATCATATTAAGAGCATTTTAGTGAGCCAAATGACTTGCCATTCAACTAATGCAGCCCTCAAGTATATGAGATGTTGTCTCATCATCTCTAGACCAACTATAATAGAAATGAGAATGCATTTATTTGTTAATGGATTCCAAGAACTTCTTTAAGAAAGCCAAGCACTTTGCAGATTTTAATGTTTCCATTTGGAGTGGAGACTCTGGCAATTCCTATAATCTCTCTGTGCCATTGAAATAAGGATTAATGTGAGTGTTTCAATCACAGATAGTATAAGAAAGACCCACAATCAGTCACCAATATTATATACAGTGTGAAAATATTAAAAAATAGAGAAAATAGTAAATCCATTCAACACATACTTACTGGTTCCCTCCTATGCCAGGGCCAGGCACTGTATAAGGCCCAGGAAAATCAATGGTGACAAAAGTAGAAACTTCTCTGCCCTTATGAATCTTATACTCTACTGGGAGAAACTGGGAACTAGAACATTGCCTTGTTATCAGTTGTTTGTCATGATAAGCCTATAGCAGGGTTATGTAGCATAGCTTCCAGGAGAAAGTTAAAGGCTAAAAATGGAAGGATGAGTACAAGTCAAGTGAGGGTGTGCTTTAGGAGGGTGGGACAGAGGTTGGGTACAGGTAGAGCGCTTTCTCCAATGGAAGGGTCAACCAGACACTATAGCACAGGTTTCATTAATAGGAACAGTTAAGACTTGGACTCTGCCAGGTGTTCTAAAAATCACTGGAAATGAGAACATTATGAGTAAGGCACAGGTGGGAAGGAACACTTCTGTGATGGAGATGGGTCAAAGAGATGGCCAGCCTTTAGTGCAGGCCTTCAGTCTGTGATAGGAGACAGTGATCCCTTCTCTAGTCAAATGCTACAATGGACATTTTCTTCCTTATTGATTTATAACTGTATGTCTTAAAGTTTACGGCTCAATCCTTATCACTGTCACTAACCACAGACTCAAAGGTACAATTCACTGCAGAACAGGGAAGGGCCATGTTAGGAGGGTGGGGGCTGAAAGGAAGGAAAAAGGTGTGGTTGGTGATAGATATGATAGATGTTTCCTCTCTTTGTAAATGTTTCCTAGAGCCATCCCTCTGAAGACTGTCACAAATTTCCCAGTATGAAGACAACTTAAATTGGTCCAAAGACCCCATAAATGATCTTCCCCTCCAATGTGGCCTAAATATCTTTCTCTACGAGTCCTTAACCATCTTGATATCCAATATCCAGGTAGTGTTGTCTACGGTTGTGTGATTCCCAAAGAAATAGCAAGATGTCAGCCAACTCACAAATGATTATGATTCTCCAAGGAGCTTGAACAGTATGCTGCCATATTAACCAATGTTTTCCATAGACTCATTCAACAGTGAGCCCTCCAGCCATCCATGGTGTCTCTTCAAAAGTGACCAGCCTGATGTGTTATTTTTTTTTTAAATTTTTTTTTAACGTTTATTTATTTTTGAGACAGAGAGAGACAGAGCATGAACAGGGGAGGGTCAGAGAGAGGGAGACACAGAATCTGAAACAGGCTCCAGACTCTGAGCGGTCAGCACAGAGCCCGACGCGGGGCTTGAACTCACGGACCGTGAGATCATGACCTGAGCCAAGGTCGGCCACTTAACCGACTGAGCCACCCAGGCGCCCCCCTGATGTGTTATTAAAGAGACAACTTTGTAAATTTAAAAAATGATGTCAAGGGCAATGGCTACAACACTAGTAATTTCTAAAGTCAGTCTTTTGATATTGTATGGGGAACTTTTCTTAAGTATTAAGGGAATGATTTCTACATGTATTTTGCTTTCTGTAACTACTGCTTTGTTTTCCATTCCATTTTTAATGTTATCAAAGTTGTGCACATACACAAATAGAGGACTCTATATGCTTTATGAAAACAGCAGCCCTCTGTGTTTCATTTTCCCCACTTCCTGATCCCCAGAAGCAATAATGTCAATATTTTAGCTTATTATTTTACAATTTAAAAACTTACAGCCATATAACTTATTAATATTGTTATTTCTGAATTTCCAGGTTTGCAATTATCTATGGAATTCTCACCAAAGGTGAAATTCAGCCCACTTTAACAATCTCCCTGCCCCTGCACACACACCCACATGGACACACCTCAAACACACCTCATGGTCCTTTATCATTCCAGAGTAGTTGCAGCATAACTTTGGCTAGATAACTACAATAATACAGTGACAGTCCTAGCTGTGACAAGGAGTGTACCATGGTGTCTTTCAGGATACTACTTCCCTATGTCCTGAAACCCAGTTGTTAATAATTCTCTTCCTGTATTCATATGCTTAATGTTCTGTGTACTTATGACCAATGCAACAAAATTCTACTCTCCTTTGGTCTAAATCTTGTTTTAATTCATCCAACATCCTATGTATTTTTTTAATTTTAGCCTCTTGAAGAGTCTTTTCTGTAGCCTCCTGATCTGCTAACCTGGACATGGTTACAGTCTAGACTCAAACGTATGTTGTCTTTGAATCTTCCTTTGGCATCATCCCAACAATTCTCTTTGCTTTGCTTTTATGTTGGGTTCCTTGTGTTCTGAATCCCAGACTCTCCTCTTTCTTAGCTCACTCCTGTGCCCTAGTATAGCACATGCTCCACTAGCTGACTGACAAAGTATGTGCAGGAGGTAAACTTCTTGAGATTTTTCATGTCTAAAAATGACTGTATTATTGACAACCTTAATTGGTAGTTTAGCTGGGTAGAGAATTCTAGGTTAACAATAATTTTCAAAGCTTTGTACTGTTACATTCTAGTTTTTGTAGTTGCTATTAGGAAATATGATTCTGGATGTTCTCTTTGTCTCTGTTGCCCTAAAATTACATAATTTTTTGTTGGAGGGAACCTCCTTTCTTCTGTGGTTCTGTGCACTCAGTAAATCTTTTCATCTGGAGAAATGGGTGCTTTTCTAAGAAATATTTTTAACTCATTTCTCTGATAATTCTGTTTTCTGCTGTCAGTGTTGTTTCTGGGACTCCTTTTGGATGCTGGACATTCTGGGATTACCACTAAATTTTCTTATCTTTTCTGTCCAATTTTCCAGTTAATTGTGGGTTTGTTGTTTGGTTTTTGTTTTTGCATTACACTATGGACATTTCTTTAACTTTATCCTCTAATATATCTTTTGAAAAATATTCTCTGCTGCTATGTTTATAATTCTCAAGAACATTTTTTTTTGTTCTTTACAATAACTTTTCTTCAAGACAAAGACACATTATCTTCTCTTACCTAATCCAGAGACATTAGTGATAAAGACCACACAGACCAGAACACTTTAGAGAATTTACTCCTAAGTTGCTTTTTAATGTATATTATGTACTGTAGATTTTATATTAGAGTTTTTCATCCAAAAGCTAGTGACCTTTAGTAGGCATACTTTTCTATTTAAAAGAAATAAAATTAATTCTAATGTCTCTTCTAAAAGAATGCAATTTTCCCTCATAAAAAAATTTGCCAGCATCTAATGTCAGTTTTGGTGAAAGGCAATTCTTGGAGGTGAGTTTTTAGAAGAGCGGCATTATTTCTGACTTAACAGAATGGATGAAGTAGAAGCATGGAGAGTCTCGTCACATGAGCAGCTATCATTCTTCTTCCCTCTAAGATTTTGAACCCCTTTCCCTCCTCTCTGTCACTCTTCTGGCCTCTAAAAACCCCCTCCAGCATGTATTACCCCACAGCTGCTGCTGTAGATTGTAGACTAGAGGAACCACGAAGATTAGGGGGAGAGGAAGTGTGGCTAACCACAGAGAATGTGTTCAAAAAGAAAAACTGTAAAATGAAGGGAGAAAAGAGCTAAGATCAGGGGATTTATGAAAGTGAGATGAAAAAGTACTATAGGGAGAACTTGGGGAAAGTTCCTGTAAAAACAAAACCAAAAAGGCATAAAATGGACACAAAATAGTACCAAGAACCAAGCCTCTGTTTTGTTCTTTTTCTTCCATAAGAATAAGAGAAATAATTACTCCAGCCTATGTCATAGGATTTTTCCAGGGTCAATTCAAATCACAAATTGGAAAGCACCTAAATTTGAGTTTCATTTTTTTTTTACAGCCACAGGTTTATGCATTTATATGAACAAGAAGGTCACCAACTTTACTACTTTTCAGCTGTTATTCACATGGAATACCCATGAAAGGCAAGGACTGAGATGGTAATTGAGAGGCTTTTGTCTCTTTAAAAAAAGGAAAATCATTATAAGTAATTTAACTTATATCTCAATTTTTAGTTTCCAAAGTACTATTTGTTCATATAACACCTCTAAATTTACACAGAGGTAGTTTTGTGACATCTTCAATTCTAGAATTTTAAAAGACTGATTTATGACTTTAATGCCTATTTATCTGAATAATGGCAGGCTCTATCCTAGCAAGCCACTGTTCCAAGGATACGTCCCATTTTCTTCTAGACTGTTATGGCTTTCCTACCCATAGCAGCCATTCTTTTGAGGAAAGAGCAAAAACATTTCCATTGAAAACGTTTTCTTCACGTTTAAAGCATCTCTTGTCCCATTGTGGCAACCATAAATATTAATCCTATGCAGTGACATGAATTTCTGACACATTTTTTGGAAAGGCCTGGATCATCATTACCTCTTCAGTACTCTGTGGCCAGTAAAGCCTGATACAGGACACGTCTAGAGGCATTTGAGATTGCCCTAAGGAAGATAACCACTGCATGCTCTCAGAAGGCAGTTCTTGCACTGGTAGTGAGATAAACCAAGAGCTGCCAGTATGGTGACCCAACAAAATGCATACTTTGCTGCCTCTGGTCTTCCCTAACTGCAGTCTCAAAGGCTCCATGTATTGTATTTTGCCACAAGTGGTGTTGCTTAACCCTGCATTTCAAATGCAAAAGCAAAACGTGTAAAACCACTTTTTCAGGAACGTACATTTTAAGACTTTCAAGAAAGCTATGAGATGCTGCTAGATTACATTACCCCTCTGAGGGATTTTACAAGGCTATACTGTAGAACTGTACATTAATTGCAAAGTAACCTCATAAAACCACCTACTAGAAAGAGGAACAACCGCCCAAAGCAATATATCAACAAAAGAGATATTTTCATTCCAGCTAAAGGGCACATTTTTGCAAAGTCAGTTCTTCTATTTAAGAAAAATATTTATTAAGAATTTTTCTTCATCCATTCAGCCATATATAGCAGGATTAAATGTTTAGTAACCTACATTTTCATGTCTGTATTTTAAAAATTTGTTTTATCACAATATTTAAATACCAGTTCTAGGAAGGAATGTAACTAGCCACTGCCCACTTGGTACTCAAATACTGATTAAGTCATGAAAATCAACGGTTTTTACATACCTCATTCTCCTGATTCTTTTTGCTGGCGAAATATTGCCTGTTGCCCCAGATAGTGAGAGATGAAATAATCCATCTCTATTGAAAATGCCAGCAATGCAAATTAGCTTCTGAGTCGAATGGACTGTGTGCTTTGAGTCCAGAGTATATGTAGTAATTCCTCTATTTCCTGTTCAAATATAATGTGCTTTTATCAAATGGAACTGCTCTTATACAAACTAAGCTTTACATTAAGTATCTAACTTAATTTTTTATTTTGTTTCCAAAATACTTGAAATTTTAAAATCAAACCACAATTCTACCAAAGAAGACGTGTGAAAATATAAATGGCACATAACTATCCATGCGGCGTGGAACAGCCGAGATAGCAGATTGTTAGATTTAATCTGGGAAGGTGAAAATAAAGGAGATTCTAGGATATATATTTTATTACCTGCACGATTATACAAGGAAAAATTGGACTTGAGTACTTACAATTAACAGTCAACACAACTAGCAATTCTGCAGACCACTTTAGAAGGATGAATGATGAAAGTAGTTTTGTTCTAATTTATAACAATGAAATTATTTTCACTTTATCTGCTTAATTCCTGGCCACACACCCCTGGCCTTCCCTCCAGGGTTGAGGAAGCAGTAAACAATTAGAGTGGTTTTCCTACATCCAATGAGAGCAAGGAATATTTTGCTTTATCACCAGTGGATCCCCAGTGCTTAGCAGAAAGGCACACTGCAAACCCTCACACAACTGTCTAACTCACGCATCTTTCTCATCAAAGGAATTAAGGTCAAAGCCCAGAGCCCATTCGTTCTGATTAAACCAAGAGCAAATACAAGGTACAGCCCTACAAACAAAACACGATGGTTGAACCTCAGTGTGTCCTGGGGTATGTACATCATTTTATATTACTTTCAAATTAGCATCGAGCTTAATAGGGAACAGAGGAAGTTGGAAGACATATCTTTTTAAGGGCGTCTTTGTGACTGCCTTGATCCAGAAGTAGAGATTTTCTTGTCCTTTCCTGTCACTGATTCTGCTCTCTGCATGTCCTTGACACTACACATAAAGCATAAAACCATTTTCACAACATATTACCAAATCCCTGTGACTTCCAGAGAGTTTTCAAGATAGAAATTCTATATATATTATGATTCAGTTAGCTTCAATTTTCCCCTGTTCACTCAAATACTAACTTACTGAGTGATCCTTCACACATCACACCACCACCTTGTTCCAAGAGTGAAACACAGACTCCTGAACTGCTCGTCATGTTCAGTTGGGAGCCAGCTGGTTGTGTGTAAGTTACATATTTTTTGGTTATTTTTATCACCGATTGACATTTGCTTGTATAAATTAGAAACCCAACTACGTAAGAGAATGAAAATAGTAGTAAATAATGAAAGTTATAGAAACTTTCTACATGATAACTAAGTCTGAAATGTCATTGTTTCTTTTTAGCCTCCACTTTCTGGATTATTCTAGGTATCATGGCTTCCTCCTCTGAAGTGTTCTTTGGTTGGTCTCTGGACACATGCATCTATTTTGGTCTATTTTAGTAGAGTACTCTTGAGAATATTAAAAAGTTGATGTGTAATACAAGCAAAATATATCCTAATTATCTCATCAAAGAAAGAGATTTAAACTATTTGCTTCTAATAGCAGAAGCTGTCATAGTCCTGTGTATTACACAAACCTATTTTCCCATTCCACAAGTAACCTCTGTGTAAGACAGATTCCAGGCTGGAAAAAAACCAGCATACTTAAACTGGGTAATAGGAGGAGTTTAATGAAGAGACTCTAGGAATGTGTGGGCAGGAATTAGGGAAATCCAACATGGTGCCAACACTTTACCCAGGTCTAGGATGGTGCAGGATTAGGCCTGAAAGGGGCATGAGGAGGTAATAGTTACTGCAAGTTAGGATAACTATAAGGATAACACTTGACAGAGTTTCTGACCTTTGGAAGAAGGCAGCAGCCAACACTCAAGGAGAGAGTTAGGGGAACTTATACCCTGACCTCCCTCTCTCGTGACCTCTGTTATCCCACAGGGACCTCCCATGGGCTGCACCCACTCAAAGCCTGGGGACAGAGGAGCCCACTGATATAGCCTGCACAGGTCTGCATTGATGCCCTCCCTAAGGAAGAGGACGGTGTGCGTGCAAAGTAGAAAGTGGACCAGAAGAGCCAGGCCAACAACAGCCAGCACACACTCTAAGAGTGAGTCTGGCTTTGCCATGATTAACTGCCTCAGAAACTACTGATGAAAGCACATGCAGAGAGAAGATGGCAAGTGTACAATGTGTTTATTATGAACCCAGAGGCATCAGTTCTCATCTTTCTAGGCTTATTTTCCCTTCAATAAGCTAACTATCAGGAGAGACACTCATATTCAACTTCAGGCAGTACACTATCTTAAAAAATGAGCCCATAACTAAGATTCATCCACCTGAATTTTAAGTTAATACTCATAAGAGGCTTAACATGAGCAGTTCTGACTCTGAGGGTGGGAAGGATAGTAATGTAATGTCACAGAAACATTCAGAATTGTTGAAATTGTGTGTTCAGCAGATGCTGAAGCTGTTGACTGCTGGAGGTATCCATGCTAAAGGAACGGCCTTCACTAACAAGTCTGGAACATGCTCCCAAACTCCACCACAGGGGCCAGATCCAACTGCCCACGGGGCAGGTTAAATCTACACAAGCCTGGCATGAACAAGAGAGTGCAATACAGAGGGGACGATGACTGCATGACATGGGGAACACTTCAACTGATTTAGAAAACAAACTTACAGAATGCCTTTCTTTGCTGATTTTAGACAGCTCTCAAACCTCATATCCACCATCAAGATCTTAACAGTTCATTCTTCCTTCCTTCCTTCCTTCCTTCCTTCCTTCCTTCCTTCCTTCCTTCCTTCCTTCATCATTTCAAACATTTACTGTCCCAGGCACTATGGCAGGCAATGGGAGATTCAGCAGGGAAGGACACTCAGAGGGCAGAAAAGAGAGCACTGGTTAAAGGCATGGATGTAAGAGTAACTAGACACAGGTTCAAGTTCTAACCTGCCCATTGTTGACTCTCTGGCTTCCTAAAAAATAAGGATTATAATGATCCTATTTCCCAGGATTGGTGGGAGGGTTACAATATTGTGTGTATTTTACTTGGAAAATGTTATTTACAGCCCTGTCATGATACTACAAGTCTTAGTCATCTTAAGAACGTTATGCAGTACTCATTATTCTCATTGACGTAAAGATAATGCAAGCCATTTAGTACTTGATAATAGTAAGTGCTCAATATGTAGTCTTAATTGTTATTATTCTACAGTATTTTCAAGTAATTTGTACTTGTCATAAACTGAAATACACATATCCACCTTCAGTAAAAATGAGGTATGGCAATTTGGTAGAGTTTGATTTTGAACACACTTATTGTGTCAAGGAAATTGTAAGTTTACTATATACTTACCCCTAGGTTTTTAGCTTCTACATAAGACTATCAGGTGAACTCCTATGAATATGTATATTATATTAACTAACTTCACTAGAACTGACAGGCTGAGAACTGACATTCACTAAAAGTTTACTATGTGCCAATCACTCTATCAGTGTTATTTTGTTTAATTTTCCTGTAGTTGGTGAAGTTGGCTTTATTACTTCTGCTTCACACATAAAGAAATGTTTTGGGATTTGTCCAAAACAGAGATGATACACATTGGGGAAAGTGTTGTTGTTGTTATTATGTTTTAATACAGCTGAAAAAAGCTAAGATGGAATACCCTTAAAACAAAACAAAAACGAGGCCTCTATAATTCCTGTATAATACACAGAAAACTCTTTACTAAACTCATACTAACAATAAATGGTAAAGCAAGATTGTATACTTAGGTTCACAGATACTGTATTTCATTTTTATATCTTATTTTACTATTGTGAAAGATAGAGCTATAATTTTAAGTTTAATAAAATTAACAGCATGTATCCCCCACAACGAGCCCCCGTCTGAGGACTAGATCACTGATAACCTTGAGAAGCCCCGTTGTGCCCATTCTGAATCACTATCTGCCCCTACATCGCTACCTGGCCTTTGCGGTGAACGTTCCTTCAACTTTACTATTTTTTTTAGCTCTTCCATCTTTGTAGCCCTAAACAATAGAGATTGGTTTGCAAAAAGGAGGTATTTAGCACAAACCCAACAGAGGAGGGAAGGGAAACACTGCCCCCGCTGGCAGAGCAGAGGCGTGCCTGCAGCTTTTCGGAGAGCTCATCCGCACCCCACCCCCACCCCACGTGAGATAGTTGGAGTGACCACGAGTGGGTCCTGGGACACACAGGTGACATCAGGCTGCTGTTCTTGCCTCTCTTACAGAGGAACAGGTCAAGGCAAAACCCCTTGGAGGGAAGGGAGGACTCACCGTTTCTCTACTCTTCCGTAACACCAACGTTGTTAGCCAAGGTCTTTTGCACCATCTCCTTTTCTGTGTTTTCAAAAACCAATTTCACCAAAACAAAACACTGCATTACACTGCAGGCTTCATAGTGTGACTATAGCCATAGTAGCTAGAAAGCTCCCACTTCCACTGGGCCAACAATGGAACGTGTCTACTTCCATTGGCACAGCTACATTCCGCTGTCAGGGGCCTGGTCAGCAAGCTGCAGTAGGAAATGGGATTTTCCAGGCGGCTGGTGCTATAAAAGTTATACGACTTCCCTGAAGATGGGTGAAAAGGAAAACCACTGAAACCATTGCTTTGGTGCAACACAAAGCAAACTCGCTGACTAACTCCTAGAGGCTTTGGAATCACATGTACAAAAAACTAGGCTCTACTTTTCTATGGAAAAGTTATTCTTATTTTACCCTTCTTCCTTCATGGCGAAAACAAACTTCAGTCCCTGTACAGGCAACCCACACCATTTTGATGAACTGCATTATATTGCTATGCGAGTAAGTTTAAAATTGAGAACGGGGCCCAAGTTTCAGGTTTTCTCTATGCATCCTACTCAGTGATTCCTTATTAACACCCTGAGTCACAGAGTAAATGTGAGTGCACGGGATATATTTCTGCATCACTTCTGCTTTATCCACCAAGGCACTAACAGTGAAACCACAGACCAAAATGCCAGGTGAGCACTAAGAAACGGTGTCTTTCAGGGGCGCCTGGTGGGCTCAATCAGTTAAGTATCCGACTTCGGCTCAGGTCATGATCTCACAGTCCACGATCTCACAGTTCATGAGTTTGAGCCCTGCGTCAGGCTCTGTGTTGATGGCTCAGAGCCTGGAGCCTGCTTCGGCTTCTGTGTCTCCCTCTATCTCTGCCCCTCCCCCACTTGCATGCTCACTCTCTCTCGCTCCCTCTCAAAAATAATTTAAAACAGGGGCGCCTGGGTGGCGCAGTCGGTTAAGCGT